TTCTCTCTCTCTCTCTCTCTCTCTCTCTCTCTCTCTCTCTCTCTCACACACACACACACACACACCAATAATTTTTATAGTCATACTTATTCATATTCACATTTACATGTATTAGTGTTTCCTCTTTGAGAATATTCTCAAAACAGTTGGGCTTACTTCAGCTCATCATTAACCAGCCAGGTAATCTGGAGTAAATGGCTTGGCTTCTTTCCCTATTTACAAAATCAAAACTTTCAACCTGTGAACTGCTTATTCAGTTGGGAATTTTGTAGTCCTGATACTTTAGGATATGTTTATAGTCATCCTTGAGCCTCAAATATCCTGTTATCAACAGCAACATTTCAACTTTTAACATCCACGGTGGATTTTTTCCCAATTAAAGCCTATTCTCAGCTTTATCAAGTGGTAGAGTCTAGGCCAGGCTTCTTATGTTCTTTGACCAATAAAATGTGGTGGCAGAAATGTGCCAATTAAAAGCCTATGTATCTTTTTCTCTTGGAATTCTGATGCCATCTTGCAGGCAAGTTCCAGGGAACTTGCTAAAAGACCAGAGAGCTGTGGAAGACACTATTCTGGAGCAGACAGCACTCAATTAGAAGAAGTAAAGAGTCATTGTGCCTTATAACTAAGGCACAAGAATTTGATTCCACTACTTTCCTTAACACTTGTGTATATATAAAAGGAGGTAATTATACAAGCATGTAAATACAGAAGGTATGGATCACTGTGCTTTTCAATGTTCATTGCATTGTAGTTTAGTTTTAAAATTCATGCAACCTAAACTATACTTACATTTATGCTAAAGAATAGCATTTTGAATTATCTGTTACAAGAAAAAGCATTTTGTTTCCAGATAGAAGCATTTTGTTTATCCTACAAGTTTTAGTGGACAGGAATAAACTATGGATGGAAGAGCATAACATGAATAATTTCTTTTTTAAAAGTATTATTTTATGTATATGGGTATTTTACCTGCATGCATGTCTGTGAACCACACATGTGTAATTCCCAAGGAGGTCAAAAAGGGGTGCCACGTTCTCTGGAACTGGAATTACAGACAGTTGTGAGCCACTATTGGATACTGGGTATTAAACTCAGACCTTCTTGAAGAGCAGTCAGCACTCATATTAAAGGCTGAGTCCTCTCAAGAGCCCCCATGGGTCTTTTCCTTATAGCTTCAATTATTATAATTTATAGAGGGAGAAACAAGCCAGGAAGTGGTACGGTTTGACTAAAATCATTTTGCTCTGAGGAAATGATAGAATTGGATTTAGATCCAAGATTCTGAGTTTTGGATCTGCACTATACTAAACTAATTATTAAACAATACAATACAACACTATACTGTACTGTACTATACTATACTGTATTATACTATACTTTTACACACTTTCCTTAACTTGGGTTTCCACCATCCTTTCCAATGCTTAGAACTCTTCAACATGTTCCAATACTGTATAGCACATGTAGCTTGGTCTTCCTTTGATAGATTAAGGCCAGAAACACAAGGATCACCTCCATTGTTCCCAACACTTTTCTAGTCACATCTAGTGTACTCAGTTCATTCTGTGTGTTCTTTGTTTTAATCTTAATGTAGGAAGTGTTGACTGTGAAGTTCCTGTGGCCTATCAGAAAATATTATTTTTCCTTAAAATTTCGAAAATTAGATTTGTTCAAGAGGGCGTGAAACAGTTAAGAGGTGCCCATGGATGGTGTGAGACCGGTAGTATATACTTATTGGATAGTTTTTCTTGTATTAGTTATAAGCTTTTTTTTTAAATTTTAGACAAAATAAGGGGAAATGTGGTGGTATTGTGTTTCCCAGAATATTGTGCACCCTAATAAACTTACCTGGGGTCAGAGACAGAACAGCCACTAGATACAAGGCTAGAAAATGGTGGCACTCACACCCCTAATCCTAGCATTCCAGAGGTAGAAATCCCTCTGGATCTCTGTGAGTTCAAGGCCACATTGGAAACAGCCAGGCATGGTGACTCATGCCTTTAATCCCAAGAAGTGAGCCTTTAATCCCAGGGAGTGATAGCAGACAGCAGAAAGGTATATAAGGCGTGAAGAACAGGAACTAGAAGCATTTGGCTGGTTAAGCTTTCAGGCTTTCGAGCAGCCGTTCAGCTGAGATTCATTTTGGATGAGGACTCAGGTTTCCAATCTGAGGAAACAGGATCAGCTGAGGAACTGGCAAGGTGAGGTAGCTGTGGCTTGTTCTGCTTCTCTGATCTTCCAGCATTCACCCCAATAACTGGTCTCAGATTTGTTTTTATTAATAAGAACTTTTGAGATTCAAGCTACAATTTACAGTTACGCATAGTTTCATGCAGCTGCTTATCTTTGCTTTCCAGATTCACATAACAAAGCGTTAACTACAGCTTCTTCCCCATCATTCAAATGATTCTTACCTTGTCTATGCTGTCATTGTAAAGTAGATCTCATTTTCTTGTGGAAAAGCAACTAATGTCTTCCCACTTTTTTTTAACCACGTGCTCAATGCCCTAGTTAAAGGCAAAGTCTTCCTTGTAGATTCCTGGGAACTTCCCTAGAACCCGTTTTTTCTCAATCCCATGAAGTCTCTCTCTAGCATGGTAACTGTTTCATTGCTCTCCCACTTTATCCCTCTTCCAGCTTGACCATCCTGTTCCCTTATGTTCTCATCCCCATCCCCTACCCTCCATTGTCCCCCCACCCCCAGTTTACTTATGGAGATCTCATATATTTCCTCTTCAAGGGGGGAATCTGTGATTGGTATGTAAAATGAATAAAAAATTCTTAATTTTTTTAAAAAAGGGGAAAGTCTTTGTGGCAGGGCCTTGGTTCAAATAGCGGTTTTATCCCATCTCTCTCTCATGATTCCCACAGTTAGTCATCTCATGTTTCTTGCATATTTCCTAAAAAGTAGAGTTGATTTCAACTTTGATTCCTTATTTAGGTGGGTCCTCTGCTCTTAATTATCCTTCACCTTTCTCCATGCATCTTCTCTCTTTTACCGATTCTCCAAGATTCCTATCCAATACCATCTGTAGAAGTGTTTTCTGTGACTCTCTTTCTTGGCCTCTTTGTCCTCCCAAAGCCTGACTTTATTAAATATTATGGCTTCTCTTTATAATTTCAATATTACATCCAAAGTAAATGCACATAACCCTAAGCTTTATAGCTAAAAACACATGAGTGAACATTTTGACATCATGTATTCAGCTCTTATGATACCTTAAGCCAAGAACATAGTGTAGTCTCCTTTATTCTTGATAATATTAAGCTATCATTATGTATAAGTAAAGTGATATCCAGAGTTGATGAAGCCACACATGGATGGCCACATAGCTAGTTAAATGCAGAACTATAATTTCACTCTATCACACATTTTCTTGTCACAAAGGAGGTTTAAGCTTTATATTAATGAGGCAAATGATTAGGTTAAATGCACCAGCCTGACCCCAGGGCACTGTTTCTGTGATACTTTTAGGACTATCCTTAAGAATGATCAAGTGTGTGCTGATAAAAGCAGCACTAACACACTTCACTTTCCATGATTATAGTTGACAATTTGACATGCAACTAAGAGGGAGATTACTAGCAACATAATATGGGTATCACAGATAGCAATTCTCCTTGACCATCTGAAGCCCTCATAATATCTTTTGAAATCTTCAAAGATCTGGCTGCTACATCTGGGTTTTCTTTATTGACTGTTTACATTATTGGTATTTCAATTTACCAGGTACATGTAATACTTGTTAGAATGCCAATTATTCAATTATACCCCCAGGTTTCTCATTCACTAGTCTGCAGTATTATCTGAAAATGTGGAGGTCCAAGGTGTTTTCATGTGATTCTGATGCTTTTGGTGTAACACACATCTCTAGTTTATTGATGCTTCTGGCCCTTGGACTGTGGTAATAATCTATTAAAACCGGTATACATAACTTCCCTGGAGATTTTAGGGGAAGAAAGCCACATGGTATTAAATGTGGATGTTTCTTCTATTTAAATTAAAACTACACCCCATTCTGGCATCTCAATAGCCATGCCTTTCTAGCAACCCCAAATGAGATTTTAGAGTCATTTTTAGGTAATAATTTTCATTGTTTCACACCATTTATTAACTAAATCTACATATATTTTACTTTACAAATGAAATGTGTTTTTGATGTTAGTCTAAGGATTATATGAAAAATTGTTACTTTCCTTGATTGGAATCCCAAAGGTTTAAGCCTATTGTATAATCTATTGAAATTCACGACTCAGCCTTGGATCCCACATCTCAATGATATGACTACATTTTTCATATTTCTGCCTTTTAAAATGGGAGGGGATATCTCCTTTTGTCTAAGGTTGGTGTTTTGGATTCCTTTCTTCCAGCCTTGACATTTTTATTCCTTTTTAACCACCTTAACACCTCTTCCATGACTTCTCCATCTTTTTAACTTGCCTTCTTGAGTGTGTAACCACACTTGAGTTTCTTCAATTCTTACTGTAAAATCTTAAAGGTACTCTTCTTCAGCAATTCAACTGCAAGATGGAAGATGCATTTTAGAGCCAATGTTCCACAGCTCAGAAAAGGTTGATATTTCTGAAGAGATAGGTAGTTATTGTGAACAGTCCTAGTGAAGCTATGCAGTGGGGTTTGAGCTACACACTAATAGCCTTTTTCTCCTGTTAGGAAACAGACAGAGCAACAGTTTGACAAATGGTGGGCATGTAGAGTGCTTTTTCTTCTTAGTCTTCAGTTATTTATAGAACACACTGAAAAACATTGTAAAGTCCTTCAAGAAAAGAGTGAGTATAAGCATATATTCATTCTCTCTATATTTGTATTCTTACTTAAATCTGAAACATTGCTGGTTTTTTAACAAAAACAAATAAGAGTGCTCAAAGACAGGCATCACTTTACCAGTAGGGAGAGATAAGTCACTTCTTGAAGGAGACATGATGGAACATGTCTTAAAACTGTTGCTTTAAGCCAATGGGCCATGTTTGCGGTTAATTCTTACATCTTCCTCTCATTTCAGCCTTCAAAAAACAGTTGAAAAAACATTCTTGATGCCCATTTTCAAAAAAGCTTCAGTACATGCACATTCCACAAGGCTGGTGCCAACAGCCTTGAGACAATTCAGAAATGACTCCCTAGTAGTCAAACTCAGTAGACCTACACAATCGTTTGTTTTAACAAACTTACCCATCTCACACGACATTATCAATTAACCTTCAACAATTTCTCTTTTCTTCTAGCCTCCTCCTTGTTCATGGTTCAGCTCACCTTCTGTTCATTCCTTTTCTTCTGTGGATGCTTCTCTGTCCTTTGTCTTAAATGTTTGTATTTCACTGACCTTTCCCCTTATCTCTTATTATTCTGGATGAACTACATGGCAAGCTTGCTATCTCTGTGGCTCCCACATTTCCAAAAAGCTTTCCCTTGGTTCTAGACATTCTCTAAGGCAGCAGTTATGAGGCACTTTTGGAATTTGCAGGAGGCGTTTTGAATTGTGATGGATGATAAAAGGAGTCTGTTTATACTTAGAAGAAATTGCCTAACCCCACTAGGAATCTTTCAATGCCATGAATAGGCCCTTGCATACAATACAGAATTGTTCCATTCCAACATAGTTTTGTATGGCTGGCTCGACATTTATGTAGGTAAAAAATAAAGGAGCAAAAGCTAAGGTTGTTTCATAGTTCAGTTGGTAGAATGTGTAGTATGTAAAAGGCCCTGGGTTTCACTCCCACCTCTGCATAAATCAATCTGCACACACTTGTAATCTCAGTAATTAGAATGTGGGGCCAGGATAATCATAAATTCCAAGAAGCAGTCTCTGTTTCATCACAAGTTTACAATGGGCATGCATGCAAGCCTATCAAGCTAAGTTCAATACCAGATCATGTGGTATAAGGAGGAATACTCCCCAATGATTGTACTCTGATCTTCATAGGCATGTACATGCCACCAGGGCGCGCACACACACACACACACACACACACACACACACACACACACACACACACAGTTAATGGAAAGAAACAGTAAAAAGTGATTGTAGTTGCATGAGTCTAAGAAACATATTGACTTTTCATAGAATCTCAGAGGATATGCTACTCACTGTTATCACAGAATACATTTCAGGAATTTCAATGACCATGCAGACTGAGAAGCAATTGTTCTTTGTTGTTCTTTCCAGAACTGTCCTGAGTGGTTGATCTTAACTTTAGAAAATTATCTTAATAATGGCAACACGACCTATATCATTTGCTTCAAAATCTTTACATACCTAGAATACTCTGTTTTTAGAAATATTCTACTTATTTATAGCAAAGGGTCTCAATATCTTTACTTAAATGACATTCAACTGAGAAGTGAATTATATTTTCATAAAAAACCTTATCCTGTCATTTTATTTCTCTACATGGTTATTCTGCATCACAAATGAGGGGAGATTGATAACAATAAGAAATAGTAAATATTATAAATATAAAAAGGTATTAACTAATTACCAGGCACAGTATTAAGTGCCTGGCACATTTTAACTCCATCTTCACACATTATAAAGGTAGTTACTATTACTCCTGTCTTGTAGTTAAAACTAACAGAGAGTTTAAGTCAGTTTCCCAAGAACAGACAGGTAGTAGATAAACTCAGTGACTGTGATCTTAAATTACAGTGTCATATAAACTGAGAAGGTAGCATTGTCAAGTAGGAACTTTGGATATGCAAGATAAGTAAAAATATGAGTGAAGGCATATATCATCATTACAGAATGTTCTGGATAGACATTGCCTATCATCAAAGCAGGCCACTCTGAACCAGTTGATTTCAATGGTAGGTGAGCATGGACATGGACATTATAAGTCAGAGTATTAGAATTGGTGATTGGGAAAAGTTAAGTCCTAGCTGACAGAACATCTTTCTACACAGTCACAGCCATGGTCTGATATGAAACACACCTTCTATTGCATTGAATCAGCTTCAAAAAGCTCTTCTGGTCGTTCCAATCTGATGCAGTATCACCAGAGTTGCCCACAATTTAGATTCTTCCTTCTTGTTCCTAAGGATTGGTAACTTTCATTACTGTCTATTTAAAATTGGCCTTTGTCTTCCCCTTGGGCAGTCCCACTGGAAGGTATCCCTGTGTTATAGAATATTAGTTTAAGATGTGTTACAATTGTGTATGCTGTGGAATATTTGTTTAATGATGCAACAATGTGTTGCATTCTTTTATGTTGTGTTTGTTTAACTGTGTGATGCTGTGTTACTTTGCCTGCCAAAACCACCTGATTGGTCTAATAAAGAGCTGAATGGTCAATAGGTAGGCAGGAGAGAGAAATAGGTGGGGCTAGTAGGCAGGGAGAATAAATAAGAGGAAGAATCTAGGGAAGAGCAAGGAGTGAGAAAAGGAGAAGAGGCGGATGCCAGGGGACAGCCACTTAGCCATATAACCAGCCAGCACAGAGTAGGGAGGAAAGAAGATATATAGAATAAAGACAGGTAAAACTCTCAGAGGCAAAACATAGTTAATGAGAAACAGGATAATTTAAGTTAGAAAAGCTGGCTAGGAACAAGCCAAGCTAAGGCCAAGCATCCATAAATAAGAATAAGTCTCTGTGTATTTATTTGGAAGCTGAATGGTGGGCCTCCAAAGAGTAAAAAACAAAAATGAAAACAAACAGAAAAACCTAACTATATTCGTGCTCTACCTTCTATGTTCCATTAATCTTACCCTTCCATACAAGATATACAGGACCTTGAAGAAGGTGCCAGTGCTTCCTTTAACTAGTGGGGAAACAAAGACTGTCACTAGATTTCCTTCTACATTTTATGGAATGAAAGCTGCTGAAGTGGGCATCTCTTAAAGATTGTTTCTTGCTCTAATGATGAACAATTTATTTTTTTCAACATGCAAATGGTTCATAATTTAATTTAATAGTGTTTATGACAATATGCAATAAATAGCATAAAAAGTATACTCATTCTGGATATGTTAGCTCATTAAGGCAGGCGCTTGCTCCATTCTGTAGTGAGCTTGAGAAACATGATGCTAACTCATGCAAATTGCTATGACTAATGTGCTTTAGGACCAATAAAGTGTGTCCTGATTCATTAATAGTCAATCCAACATCTCCCTCCTGCTTCCTAACAAAAGTTGAGAGAAGACTGGTAGAAAAAATTGCTGCTCAAGTTTTGCCAACCTTCAGGCTTTCTGATTAGCATGTGTGATTTCGTGGCTGTCTTCTGTGACACTGTGCACCTGTGATATTAGCCTCATGGTTTTGATCTTGCAAGTCTGGAAAGGCTTCTGAGTTCAGTGCATTCTTCCTGCCAATAGCTCATGTGGAGGATTTGGATTTGTGTACAATCCTCAGGCTCCTTCTGGCTCAAAGAAACATTTTGCAGGGCTCAGAAGGGTAAGACTAAGCCTAGCACAGGTGAGTGCCAATGGAGCCAATCCAATGGTAAATAAGCATATCTTCTGCTTCAGAAGCACCCATGAGCCACAGGTGTAAATATGCAATATAGCTGCACTGGAGGAGGCAGGCTCAAGTTTTATAATGTATTTGTCTCTTACACGGTATCCCAGACTCCAGGCACACTCTAGATAGTGGCTGTTGGGATTTCACTAGGAAGAAATCACCTCCATAGTTACTTGGTGAAAATGCAAGTTGAAGTTGTACTAATGACTATGGAAGTGCTTAGGTATGTTGAAATATACCTCTCTTCTTCATTTTGTTCCTAAGCTTGGATGTTTCATTTTATTTTCATCAGAACAGAGGATTTGAGGGATTTGTTCAATAAAGACATATGGTCTTTAGATCTCAGTTGTCTGTGGAATGTCTCTCACATTTTATCCTTCCACAATTTGCAAAATTGGCTTTCTTTGCTGCATCTAATATGTATGCTGTTGCATATCTGTGGAATTCTTAAGTTTTAATGAACAAGTTTATGAGTATAATTTCAGTGGCTTCTCATGACAAACTTTGAAAGCATAACATAAAGTTTTCAAATAAGAAAAATGAGATTCAAGATAGTAAATGAAGCTTCTTAGCATCTTAAAGCAAATAGGTGGCCAAGATGGACTCTCAGCACATGTTGTTTGGTTTTTATGCTTCTTTCATTTTGCTAAAATGCCATTAGTGTGGACCAGAGTCCTCCCCCACAACTCCCAATTACATACCTCCTGTATTTTGTCTCTTGTCAGAAGTACTTTGATAAGCAGAATCTGTCCACACTTGTATTATCTCCTAGCCTTCTGTCTTTGCAGATGATAACCAGACAAACGCCAGATGTCAGTCAACAATTAGCCAACTTTGAGTCCCCTTTGGTAAGGTTTATCATGCAGCTTAGAAAATAAAGAGGGCTGCAACACTGAGTTAAACAACCAAATTATTTTGGTGAGTATTCATTGTGTACCAGGCATCTAGTATAAGTCTTTTGTGGTATTTGGAGGATTTAAGCATTTTGTGTATTTGTTCATCTACATGTTTCTCATCTTCACCATGATGAAATGCCAGAGGCAGACTATTTATGAAATAAAGAGAAGTTTATTTTGATTTATGATTATGGAGGTTCAAGTTTGAACATCATGTAGCCTCTTTGGTTGAGAGATTTATTTGGGAGGCACATCATGGTGAGAGTAAATTTTGAACAAGGCTTTTACCTTGAGAAATGAAGCAAAGAGAGGGACTGAGAGACTAAAATCTCCCATACTCTTTCTGTGAATATCCCCAGTGATCTATGTACAATCACCTCTGTCCCTTAGACATCCAAGGATCAAAAAATATTACTACTTAGAGGACCAAACATTAATATACAGACATTTAGGAAACTACCCATATTCAAACCATATTATATCCCCTTCATCAATCCATTTGAACCTTCTAAGTGCTAAATATATGGAATAGTAGCCCCTTCAAAGAAAGAAGATAAAGAAAAACAAAAAGCTCCCTGGGCTTAATATATTCAAATTAAGAGAGATTTATTCTTGAAAGCTTACGTTTTCTCCATCCTAATAGGAGTCAACTACTCACTTAACAGTTTTTTTTTGTTTAGTGAACATAATCAAAGTGTATTATGTTAAAATTTTAAATAATTATTTGAAGTTGTCTCCACCTTCTTGCTCTTGTAATCTTTTTACCCCTTTCTTTCACATAGACCCCTGAGCCTTTAGGAGAAGGGTGTGATAACGATAGCACTTACAGGGCTAAGAGCTCCAAAGTCTCTCAGTCTCTGCATATTGTTCAGTTGTGAATCTCTGTGTGAATTGCCATTTACTGCAAAAAGAATCTTTTCTGATGAGTACTGACCTGTGGATATAGCAAGATGTCCTTAGAGTTATTTTCTTGTTATGTTCATTTAACAGAATAATAGTAGTAGGTTTTCCCCTAAGGCCCACAACCGATCTAGGCTCAGGTTCTTGGCCTCATTAATAATTTCAGGTATTGGTTCTATTCCATGGAACAGGCTTTGAATCCAATCAAAAAGTGGTTGATTACCCCATAACATTTGTACTACTGTTACATTAGTTGGCATATCTTATAGGAAGGCTGCTATTGTAACTCACAGGACTGGTAGCTATGTAAGAATGATGATTCCTCTCTCCTATGGTAGTGTGTATAGCACCTTCAAGTACTGTAAATGCTGGCCAATAGAGCTGAAGCTTCCAATTGAGTTTCAGCTCAATTTCTCCATGATTGATGACATAAGTATGTGATGTTTTCAGCAGTAGGGTCTTACTGTCAGATTGTGAAGGACAACTAATAGTGTGAGCAATACCCTGGGATATTTGAGGGGAGTCTATGGGACCTGTTTGGCCAACCATTCAAAAATACATTACCCATTCCTTATACTGGAGCTTTATTTGATACCATAAAATGCTTAGTTAGAGTATTGTCTCCCTCACTATACAGCCACTCCATTTAAACTCCTTTTATATAAGCATATTTTAGGAAACTTCTCTAATAGTAGGTTTCTATACAATTTTTAAAGGTCTTCAGTGTTAGTTATCCCTCCCCATATCTACTCCTCTATTCCCCCTCCAATCCCTCCATTTAATACTCCAATTATCTTGTCCTGTTTATTCACTTTAACACTATACTCTATTTCCCCTCCTGCCACATCGTTCTCTTACTAGCTACCTAAGAACTGTGGATATTCTAAGTTAAATGCACACATCTGAAGCTTAAATGCTCCCCTAACTAAGAATTGATTTGCTATGACTTATGGGAGAGGACAATCAATTTCCTTCAATGGAGTGACACTGGGTTGTGAACCACACTCTAGGGCAGGTGACACAATCAGGAGTATCAGTGAACATGCATCTGACTTCATGCTTTTAAAAAAAATGCATTTTTCTTTGTTTTATCATTTTAGGAAAGAGAAAGAACAGGAAGTAGGTTGTGTGTATGTGAGATCTGGGGGGGGAGAATATGATCAAAATATATGGTATAAAATTCTCAAGAAAATAAATACAAACCTAAAAAAGAAGTTCTCAATTAATAAAAACACTTTAGGGGCTCACAGAGATCGAACCACCAAGCAGAGAACTAGCATGGGACTGACCTAGATTCTGTGCATGTATGTTAGAGTTGTGTAGCTTGGTCTTCTTGTGGGACTTGTAACAGTGGGAGCAAGAGCTGTTTGTCTCTGACTCTGTTACCTGCTCTGTTACCCTTCCCACCTGCTGGGTTGCCTCATCCAGCCTTATCAGAAGAGGAGGTACCTAGTCTTACTGCAGCTTGATATGCCATAGCTGGTTGCTTTCCATGGGAGACCTGCCCTTTTCTGAAGAGAAAGGAGGAAGAGTGGATGGGGGAGAGGTCACAGGGAGGGACTGGGAGGAGAAGAGGAAGGGAAGGGAAACTATGATTGGGCTGGGAAAAAAAATCAATTAATTAAAAAAAAAACCAACCAATTTTGTGTACACAGTGTGGTTGTAATTCCATAATGACCATAATGACCATAGACATTGTTTGGTATAAAGGACAGTTTCTTGAGACTGTTAGTGCCTGGCATATAGGACTGCACTCCTAGGACTGTTATTGCCTGTATTTTGTGCTAATGTATAGCCTGTGCTAGGCTTCTGATAGTTACTTTTCCTTTTATCCCTGAAATGCATTACCTTGGACAAAAGAAAACCTTCGACAGTGACCTTGGAAGGCTTTAAAAGTGCAAAGTTACCATTGTTTCCAGAAATGGGTGAGTATCAGCTTGTGCTGGTACTTTTATTTTGTATTATTGAATACCTACAAAATGAAGGATTCCTCATAAAACGCTGGCATAAAATCAGTTGCCACAAACCAGGTTAGAAAACCATGCCTCATCTGCATTTATTGGCATTGATTTTATCTTATTTATTTTCCTTTTCATTAGATTTATATTTTAATTTATCCATTTAAACTTCTTATTAAGAGATTGCATAAAACATCTTTATGCAAATATTTTAGCTGAACATGGAAATAAACACACCATAAATGCATTACTGTGAAAATGAAATATTTACCAAATATCTAAGAGACAAATAGAAAGAGCTAATGTTTACTGGGATCTTACTAAATGCCAAGCGTGCAATGCATGTTCATTATTAATTCATTCACCTTCAGATCTATTGTTTAAGGGGAGCAGCAATGACATTTTGTAGTGTGGTAATTGGAGCTTGTGGAAATTATGTAATCTGTTCAAGGGTTCTGAGCTCATTGCTTGCAGGGCAAGAATCTGGATATTAAAATCTAGGTTATCTGAACTCTACTATTACTGTTTTTAAGGGATGGTGCTTCTGCTCACGTTCCCTGTTCAACCAGCATGCATAAAGATTCATGCTGTTCTTTCCGTTTGCTTCTTTTCAATAAGTAAAGAGGCAGGCAGGGACTTTTTAAAGCACATTAGATCCCAAACTAAACTGCCAACTTCCTTCTATCAAGAAAACTCTTACAACACTAAAGGGATTCACCAGGTTGTATTTATGTATCAATGCATATATGCAGTAATAACGGAATAAAAAGAGGCCATGAATTTGAGAGGGAGTAAGGTGGGGTGGACTGGATGATTTGGAGTGAAAAGACACAGGAGGTGTTGGAGAGAGGAAAGAAAAGTGGTGCAACTCTATCTTAATTGAATATTCAAAACTTATTAAGAAAAACTCAGGATCTTCCAGGAGTGTCTGATGTAACACTTCTTAGGACCCTGGGGACCACTTATTTGAGGGTCCAATAGAAACCAACACATTCTTCGGCACAAGTGCAGCAAAACTGTGTTCAAGTTAAAATGTTATTAAGGGAGAGAAAGTTGATGGAGTTTGGAATGAGAGTAAAGGTGGGCTGAAGAACAATTAGAATAGTCAAGAAACTAAGAAGAAAAGAGAAGTTAGTCAATACATTTGTGTGCATCAGAGAGGCTAGAAACTGGTTAGATCCTCTTGATTCCACATAGTTTCATAGTTTACTCAAAATCCTGTTTCTCTTCCCTTGCTTGCTTTGTGATCCCAGGAAACTGACATTAACCTCTCCGTTTCTCCACCTCTAAGATAATGATAACCTCTGAGGGTTAATTGGGAATCTATGAAGACTGTTACAGATTATTACATGGCACACAGTAGCCGTCTTTCATTATAACTGTCACTTTGGATGCTGTTTCACATTCAGTCATCACAACACTTCAGAAGGTTGGTTCCACATTTATCTCCATTTCACAAATGGGAAAATGACACTGAAGGGTGCTAGGATCTAGGACAAGTGTGCATGGGTGTGAAGGAAAAGAGGGGGGAAAGAAGGGAAGGGAAGGGGGAGGGGAAGGTTTACATCTGTCTTACTCTAAAGCCTTGGTTTTCCTCATCATTCATTTAGTATATTATACTATTCTAAAGCACAGAAGGTAATATGTTTATCTTAAACAACCAGATAAAAAAAAAACCCTGACTCTAACTTGAATGTTTGTTAGATATGACCCCTAGACACTTAATGGGAAAAAAAAAACAAATGAATAAACAGACAATTCTGACTTATGTTAACATGAAGTGAGCAGAACTAGGAATCTGACACTACTCCATCATACCAGCATGACTCTGTGGTGCCTCTTCTGTGGGTAAAGAAAAAGGCCCAAGAGGTAACCACACATACCCAGAAACAGCAAGGTCAAAGTGGGAAGAGTGGGCAGTTTATATCATAAGATTTTAGGCAGTCATAACAGGGAACATGATACATAAGGCAAGCAAAAGCAAGTGGAGAAGTAGAGTAAGAAATCAAATGACAACTGTATCCCCAAATATGGACACCTATATTATCAAATGGAGAAAATAAAAAATCCGACTTGGAAACTGTTGACAAAAAGCAGAAGCCAGTGAAACCAAGAGGATCCCCCAGAGAAAGAAAGAAATTTGCTGTGTTGTTCCATCTGGGGAACTTGAGGTTCTCTTCACAAATTATGAAGTAGCAAGAATTTGAGTTTTCTATTCCATACCAGTAGTCTAGCACATTCCTAGAAGTCTTCAGTACCAATGGCCAGCACCTATAATCTGATCATGTTTTTCCAAATGTGTTGGAAATAGTACCTAATCTGGTATGGCGGTCAGTGTGGTGGGGTGCGGTACAGTGGGGTGGCATAGGACTTGATGGGCTAGGTAGAAGTCCCAAAAGTGGAACCCTCTTAAGGTGATGCCATTGTCACACCAAGGGCTCACAGGTATGAGTTCTGGTTTTGATTTTTTTCTTTTCAGAAGCCTTTGTTCATCTCTTTGCCCTTTTATGTTTTGCTACGCAAGAGTGCAACAGGGCTCTTACAAACTAGGTACTGACTTTTGACTTTAGATTTCTCAACCTCCAGAACTATGAAAATAAACAAATTTCTGTTCTTTGTAAATTGTCATGCCTTGGACATTTTGTTCTAGCATCAAAATGGAGTAAGATGCTACTTGTTCCTTATTTGCTCATCAGGCCACCCTGGTGGGATAGTCCCTGGTCGGAAATGTGTTTGCCTTGATGATGCTACAGGCATGCCTACTTCCCACTGAACTAAACTACATGAACTTATTTCCCCATGAGGAATCAGAAGAGTGACCCTGAACACCAAGCTGGCCTCACTATAATTGGAGAAAATACAATGAAGCAAAAGATGATTTATGAGTCACAGGCATATGCTGTAAACACAGTTTTTATTTTCCCAAGCATCACAGAAGTTACAGCTCTGACTTTTCTAAGCATTTATTCATTGTAGGTGTTGATGGAGGAAGTGATTAATGCTGAATTTCCTGAATGCTCTGGTCCATTTGGAAAAATAGTTGTAGCACAATTTTGCTTATTTAATATAGGTGGATGGATGACTAAGTCTGGAGAAACACCCAAAGAAGTCCCTGAATCCACTTTTTCAGATAAAGAATTTGAGGAACCAGATGACTGAGCACTGAAAAATTTTAAACCTTCAATTTACACTTTTACACATGTGTTACAGAGACATAGATGAGGGAAGAACTCCTATTTTAACTTGGCTGATTTATTGGAGAAAGTCCAAGCATTCAGGAGGAAGCTGGACTTGTGTATTGAGCAGGCAGTAAGTTAACACAGCAACTAATTTCCATTCCTAAACTACCCCAAAATCAATGAAATCACACTGTCAATGAATTGTATAGCAATTCAGTAGAAATTAAAACCTACTGTCAGAAACAATCCATGGACCTGATAGACATGAATCATACCCTATGTTTTTGTGTCTGCCTAAGATGCCACTTTAGCATCTGCCTGTCCTGAATTGTAGAATCCCTAAGACATGATTGAAACAAATACAAAATGTGGTAGCCAGGAAGAAAAGTTACAAAGATTTCCAACAATCTGTGAACAGATTTTAGAATATTGGGTCCATTGGACTCTTTGAGATGCATTCCTTCCCGGAATGAAATTAACTGCTTTCCATGATGCACACTTGGGGCTAACATGGAGCTGGATCTTCAGAGAATCTACGGCATTTTGGCCTCATCAAAATTGGTCAGTTTTAGCATCATGCTCGCCTAAGAATAATGTTGATTAGATTTATCTAGAATGATATTATTATTGCTGCCAAAAATATTTATTCAACCAATGACTGTTTAAAACATGAACCTCACATTTTAATGTTCATGGACATTTTGAAACAAAAGATCTGACATTGAAGAAATGATGTTTTTTTTATAGCAAAGCCCTGCCTGTGTTTTGTTGATCGGTCAAGACTTCTGACCATTGTTCTGAATGGACATTAGGGCAACTACCCTCTTCAGAGCTTTCTCACTGACAACTGTTGGGAACATCTGAGACCAACATGATGTATCAAGTTGTGTTTGTCCTTTATATCACCCTCCCTTCTGAGCTCTGCACTGAGACAAAGCAGATGAACAAAAATTAGAAAAGCAAGCCATATTGACAGACATACACAAGGAATAGAATCAGAAGAGAGGCAAAAACGCTAATTATTGACCAGGATAAACCATTTTTCTGGGAAACTAAGGCATATAGGAGGTAGGAATTCTTCCCTTACAACAGCACAGAAAACAATAAAGGGAAAGAAACTCCAGGAACCAAGCAAGAATGGAGAACAAACCAGTGAACTGCTTACTCATTTGACACAGCTCTCATGAGTGCTAGGCCTCTTGGTTGCCCATACCATTGCAACAGTTCTATCTGCTTGATTTTACTTTCCTGTCCTTTTTCTTTTCAAACCAGTGATATTTAAAACTTTTAATAAAACCCAACAAAGATAATAAAGTCTATCTAGCACTTGCAGTTCAAGGATACATTATCCCAATGTAGCTATAATTATTTGATAGCGTCAAGGTCATCAGACAGAAAAAAAGTCCATGACCATCATTGGGAATCCATCTCATGTGTATGACAGTTGCTAAAATCTTTTTTTTATCTTTGCAGATAATTAATATGAAGAAAGTCACTGAGAACTTAGAATTACTTTAAATTAATCACTAGCTATTCATTGTCTATCTACCACATATAAAACATGTTTGACCTCAAAAAGAATAAAATGAAGTTCAATTATAGCATGTATTTTTGAATAGATAACCAAGAATACAAGATAACAGTGCAGGAATGGGTTAGGACAGTCAGATAAATTATATGTTACACACAAAGGCATGGGAAGGAACTGAAAAGTAATTCCTGTTACAAAATGTTTACCTGTTGCAAAGTATATGTAAGCTGGAATACTGTAGTTTATGGGCTATTAAGAAGACTTTACGATTTTCTGAACTATAAATAATTAATTAAACATTTTCCTAAAATGTGAAAGAAGCTTCATATAAGAGTCAATTGAAATTCTGACACATATCATTCTTCCACAAAGTTTAACGCCTATGAATATATATTTTCTATAGACTATCAGATGGGAAAATAAAGTTTTAATTTAACAGGAAATAAAATTAGCTTCAAGTTAGTAATAAAAGAAACAGATGCTAGGAGAGCAATATTTTAAATTTTGCATCAAAATTTTTACTGAAAATATAAAAGGTGCTCATATAAATTAATTAAAATTTTCATAATGCTAACAAAAGTGGTGGCTTTTTTTTTTTTTTTTTTTTAAGCTGAGATTCAGTGGTCTACTGCTGGAAATTAGTTACTGCTTAGGTCCTATGGGTTTCCTAGAAAAATGCAAATAATAATCTTAAGAGACCTCTAGAGGGCACTCTACAAAACAGATCTAGGTCAAGTAGAGAAGAAGGAACTAGCAAGAAGCAGTTTTCTTTAAAAATGTGTAGAGATTGAAGATTTTTGTTTGGAGACAGTTAACACTAAGCTTGCTTTTCCAAGTGACAAATTAATCTTAACAACTCTTCAGACACAGTTTGGAATATTCAAATCTCTTGGGGTTGCAAACCATCTCCGCAGTGCCAAATGCTACCAGGTCCTCTTAATGCGCATTCAGCTTAGTTTCAATACAAGACATGATGCTGAACCTAGAAGTAGCTGCTTAAGAAGTGCACATTCTTTTGAGTTCCTTTCATTTATTCCTGGGGGTGTTTAGAAAAATGTCAGTACAGGATGAAGCTGAAAAAAATAATAAAAACACATTTGCCATTTTGTAGCTCATAATGGTTAGCACATATTTCCACACACATTACCTTAATGAAACCTTAAAATATGAGCAAGGCTGGTTTTATTGTCATTGACACTGATGGGATGACTGACTCTAAGGACTTGAGGTAATAAAGCACATTCAAACTTAGTTCTCTGATTTCAGTCTCAATGACCTTTCCTTTGCAACATCCCTATTTCTGATTACCCAGGTAATGAAGTGAAAATCAGTAACCTTTCAATAGATGTTCAGGTGGATGAAGTCATAGGTTCTGAACGAGGAGGAAGCATCAACACCATCTGAGCTAATAAGTCGTGGACTTGGAAAGCTAGCAAGCTAATGGAAGACCGGAACGAGGTGGGCAGTTGACATAATCATCTCCCAAAGAGCCCCCCACATCACACAAACTACACAGGTGCCAGGAATATAGATCACATTATACATGATGATTTTCTTGGTTCACAAACGAAACTAAGAAAAAAAATCTAAAAGCCCCTAAATCACTGGAATTCTAGGGTAGCCACTAGATGAAAAAGATAAAAAGTGAGCCTCATTTTTTCCCCACTCTCCAGTTTATTTGGTTTATAACTGGACAAAGTCACATGTGTACAAAACAAAGCTCATACTATCCAAAAACAGAGTAATGACTAAGGCCTGGGGATCTGTTACTAGCCTTTAGGGGAGCTCAGAGGTGAGGGGTAGTCAACCATCCCACTGGAGAAGTATGGACACAATGGTGGAGAGGACAGGGAGCCACCTGGCTTTGGTCACAAAACTCAGGGCCTGGTACTATGCCAGGACAGACAGATGGAAGAGAAGCCTCAAAAACCACCCTGCCCAGGAGGCCCAGGACTGCCCCACCAGTCCCAATGTTGTGTGGTTGGTTCAGACCCAAGGGCTGGTGTAAAGGAGAGGCAAAAAAGGCAGGAGGGAGGAGAAATACTGATGACCCGTCACTGAGGGTACTTGGACCTGTGGAAAAGGGTGGGTTGGGAAGTGGGCCAGCTGTCACTAGGCAACTAGCAGCACATTTCATAAATGCCACTGTGGCCACTGTATTGCCCCCCTTTGATGACATCATGGTCTCTGTAGTTCAGCTTCGATTTGAATACCTTCAAGTAGCACCCCCTGGAGGCCAGAAGGCACAAATGGCACCTCAAAGTTCATGAACGTGGGGGCAGGTGTCGAACCCAATCTTCTTATTGTTGGTGGGCGAAAGCTCTATCTCTGTGCTGATCTGATTCTTTTATGCCTGCCATGAGCTTGGTCTTCCATTCTCTGCCACTCTTGCTCACCTTGTCTTTGCCTACCTGGGGTGATATATTGTACAACACTCCCCCTTCATGCAGATCGCCTACACCCTGTTTGTGTTTAGAGGAGCTAGAATCATCACCTCAATCTTCTGGGCCAGAAGTAAGGGCTTTAAGTTGGACTTGATGACTTTAACCTCCACTTTCATGAGTCCCTCTTCTGGCACCAAGATCACCCAGGAAGGAAGGATGATGGCCTTGAACTATTAACAGGGGTGCCTTGGAGATCTGGTTTTGATAGGCTGCCTGCCTGACATCCATCCCTTTGATTCTAATGACAGGTGCAGTGAGTATGGTGAAAAGGGACATTAACTGCCATTGCTATGATCTTAGAAGAAGCAGGTCACTATCTAGATCACATTCCCAATACAAGGAAAGGAAATACTCTTGATCATACTTCAAGATGAACATCTCCTCAAGGATCAAGGTCTGTGTCCCTTCATAGACCGAGATCAGCTTCACTCATCAGATATAGGTCTGCTTCTAGAAAAGGATCAAGATCCTGCTCAAGGTCAAGATCAAGATCCAGGTCTATTATATGACCAAGTAGCAGGCGATCAAAATCCAGAGCTCCATCTCCTGAAAAGTTGTTTTCCATCAGCAAGTCCATGCAGAAGCTCAAATCCTGAAAGAGTAAACTGAAGTTCTCAAGTTCTCCCTTTAGGGAAAAATTATTTTGTTTACATTATTATAAGGGATTTGTTTTGTCAGTAAAATGTAATCTCGAAGTTTGTCTAATCAAAATGGAAAAATTAACATCTTGTTGTCTGAAAATGTGGATTTTTATTTGGCACATTTAAATAAAATGTTTCTAACTAGAAGGAAAAAGTGAGCCTCAAGATCAAAGTAAGAAACCACAATGGAAGGACAGATGAGGCAGTGTATAAGATGAGGTCTGGTGGATATGGACTTGACCCTAGTTGGCCTGAACTGACTTCAGAGATCTAGTCTATCCTGACACCCTGTTTTTGGTCTTAATGATTCAGTGCTTAGGACTTAACTCTGTCTACAACTAAAAGAAAAAAGAAAAGAGAGACATTTTCATCAAAATGTAACTGTTGGTTTTTCTCTCCTGATTAACTGATATGACAGTTAACGCAGGAATCTTTACCCAGGAAAATATAAATATTAATAAAAGCACATCTCTCTATTTGGAAATAAGAGTAGGTTGGTTGGGCTGTTTATTAGGATTTTTCGAAGAAACAATACCAATAACCTTGTGTACATGTGCATGAGCACCCAAATGCATGTGTGTGCATGTTTCTCTCTGTGCATATATGTGCATGTCTGTATATGCATGTCTGTGTGTGCACATGTCTGTACATGTGCGTGCATCTCTATGTGTATTTGTGCATGTCTCTGTGTGTGAGAAAATTATTATAAGGCATCAATGTGCAGCTATACAGTCTGAGTCAGAAGAGTGGCTGATGTGGCATTATTAAGTCCAAAGACAGGAGAACATTCATTATGTTTATACAAAGACAATGAAACATTGGGAATGGACTTTTATTCCTCTGCCATTTATTCCATTCGGTGCTGCAATTGAATGACATGGTCTAGCACTAGGGAGGGTAGACCACTTTAGTCTGTGGATTCAAATGTTGCTCTTACTTTGAACCATTACCACAGATATTTAACCAAATATCCAGTTGTCTTGTATCCACTCAAACTAGCATATGAAATTAACCATTGTGATTTTTTCTGCAGGATTTCTGTAGGTAGTAAAGAATATTAAGCAACAAAATGAACAGAAAGCCAAAGGAAGCAGGCGTTCCTGAAGACAGATAATATCACCTTTGAGATCTTGTGATGGGCTTGCCTTCTATGTCATTCAGAAAGCAACCAACCACAGTGGCTATGGGAAAGACTGACTGGGTCATTTGCTTCTGTTACTTTCTGACTACGCTCTTTTGAAAATTTGTGCCTCGGTTTCCTGTTAATAAAATTGAGATAATCTAGTACCTGTTTATGGGTTGCTATGAACTTGAAAAGAACTAGATTTTTTGTGATTTATTCAGGCTTAAAATCCTCAACATATTATTTTTTATAGGAGAAGGACTTTGAGAATGAGTCACTCTGTGAAGCATGAGAAACTGAATTAACATAAAACTATACTGAATCTTGTGCCTTTAGGGCAAGGGTATCTCTTCAGGATGAATTAGAAAAAAATGTGAACTTGTGAGCATGTTTTAATGTATGAAATGTGAGTGAAAATCCTAATCACACCTCTAATTTATCTCTGCAAATCTGGTTTAAGAGGGAAGGGATCTTTTTTATTCATTTTCCCTAAAAGTTCCTTATTGGACACCTCCCTAATTCCACACTGTTCCAGGGCCAGAGATACAACCAAGAGTTCTTAATCCCAGTCATGTTGCCTGAGTTGCAGCCAGTGGTCATCACATTTCCTGGCTGTTGTGCTGCTTTTGACAGAGGACTTGGAGGTAGTAAGCCATGGAAACGAAAAGCCAGAAGTGACTGCCACGTATAAAACCGGTTTCCTCTGTCCTACATCTGTGTGTGAAACCTTAGGGTTTTCACGTGTTCATTCCTTTTGGATGGGATCAAGTGAAAGCAGTGTTTTATTACCTTTCCCTATGTGATCAGCTAGTTGCCAGAAGAGGGACTACAGATGCCTGTGCTCCTCTGATCAGCAAAGGTCCCATCTTCTCCTACATGCCTGCTGTTTACAGTAGGGCTGACTCCTGTTCTCTCTTCCCTTGTGTTGTCTTGAGAGCAAGTCCATAAGTAGTAAGAGCACATACTATAAAGTCTTTCAAACTGTCTTCCTGTGTCTTGCTGTGGTCTCTGGGTGACTGTTTCCTGGGGCTCTTTGTGGGATGCTGGCATAGTCTTCTGTTCTTTGATGTCTGTGTCTTTCTTCAAGGCTTGCACCAGTACAGGCACTTTGGCAAAGTCCTGGTAAATTTTTTGTAAATGAACCTGGGACGTATTCATGATCATCCAAGGAGTATGTTGGTTGGACAATTTATATTTTAGCAAGTCAATATTTACTACATTGGGAAAGTTATATTTAGAATGAATAGATAGCTGAATTTTAAAATTTTAAAGACAACTGAAAATGCAGACTACCAGCACGTTCACTTAGCTCTCCATTGGTAATAATTATAGAATATTATGTTCTAGTAAACATTTTATGAATCTTTTACAATAGTACCTTTAAACTGTTTAATATCTTAAACTAATATGTAAAATTCAACTTAAAAACATGGTCTTACACACCTGTAATCCCAACAGTTAGGAGGTAAAAGCAGAAAGACTGGAAGTTCAAGGTCATCCTCAGATATATATATAGTGAAGTCAAGGCTAGCCTGGGGTTCCGAGACCCAGTGACAAAAACAATGCCATGATAGTTAATATTTTTTTAATATTGTATTTCAACTACTTGGAGAAAAAAAAGATAAAATAAGTAAAACTTCCAGTTTAGATTCAGTGGTACAAAACTGGAATATTTCTTCAGTGGCTCCACACAAGTTATGTGGCTTGTCAGGTTGTTTTAATGCTGACTCCATATAAACCACCAGAGTGGCCTTGGCAAAGGACTCGGATCTGTTAATTCTCCCTTTTACTCATTTTTAAGAAGTGCATACAGTAGGTCTGTTGTGAGAGGCACAGGAAATATGCAATTCATACTAAATGCTGGCTCTTGTTACAAACAGCTGTGACTGTTCAGTAAGTTGTAAGGATCATTAATTACTCCATCAATATTGTTACCTCCTGCTCAATGTCAGAAATGCCGCAGAAGCCAGGGTTCAGCCTGGTGTTTGTCCCCAGAACTTGTGTAGAAATTGGTTTAGGCTTGATTTGAGGGGACATTCATGTGTATACATGCTCAGAGAAACATAAGGCATGCATATCATAAACCACACTTGACCAGGAGGAAACCAAGGCTTGAGTAGAAGTCATGTGGTTTAGTTATTGAGTGCATCTCACGACAGGCTAAAATCTGTTTTGAGTACTCCTTCTCAAATACTTAGTTTCCTAATTTGCTTTAACTTCTATACTAGACTCCTTAAAAATGACCTGGTTTTTCTGAATCTATGGCAGCTGAGAACACAGTCCATATTTAATGCTCAGAAGCAGACATTCTGCAGCATGATAAAGAAAGCATGAACGTAAATAAGATGGAATTTTGTTTAACCATAAAACCTGCAGTTGGTGAGTCATTACATTGTAATTGAACCTGGTCTAAGCAAGGCAGTGTGCATATGTCATGTAAGTATCTACTATCCTAAAAATACCTCATTACCACCCACTGGAACAGTTACAGATAAATATTTTGCTTTTATAGCCCTTATTTCTGAAACAAAATGTTTTATGTTTCTAATTCCTAGACAATTTGTGGTATTTCTGTTTATCTTGTGTTCTACGTTCAAGCACTGTTTGAGGGGGAAATACAAGATTTCAGAAAAGTCTGAAGTGTTTTTCAATTTTCAAGAATAAATCAGAGATTCGGGGAGTCATTTAGTCCTCTGATCTTAGACAATTGCATTGATTGACAGGAGTGCATTCAGTTGAAATTTTAATGTCTTGATTGCTTTAAAATCTCCTAGTTGCCTTGGCTTCTGTTTCTGTGCCTGTGTTGTTTATCACAGCGACTTTCAACGCAGTTTACAAAGATGTATTTTGGTAGCAAAAATGGGTTGTTTGGCAGGTTTCCCACATCAGAATTTGGTTACGCAGAGCAATAGCACCTGTGGCCACATTTCTAATGACCTTCCAGCTCTTTGGACAGAGGACTCTGGCAAATGACAGCTGCAGTGATCAACTCCATGCACCCTTCTCTGTGGGCAGGGTGACTGACCTCTGTGCAGCCTGGGTTGGCACATAGGTTCCAACACTTACAAGGACTCTTTCTTGATTTCATGGTCGATTCTCTCTATGTTTAAATTCTTACTAATTGTACGATTTCCTTACGACACCAAGAGTTGTCCTAAGTCTAAGCCTGATGTTATGTGACACTCTTCATGAGCTCTGTGTGTTACAACCTATGTTTCTTCATCTTACTCATCATAGCTCATGGTCAACCTCTGTAAAACTTTCTTTTTCTTTTCCAGGTTGTGTTAGCAGCTTGCCGTCTTTTTGTTTCCATGGTAACCCATTCACCCTTCCAGAATTGCACTGCTTGTTCTGCATTCCATGTACACATGTGAATGTCATCTGTCTATAGTATGGACTCCAGGATAGGGTATAGACGAATTTCTAAACAGTCTTATTAAATAAGAAACACAGAGCCAAATACAGAGGTATAAGCCATAGAGATCAAAGCAATAGCCGCCAACTAACCTTAGTTTGCCACCTCTCTGTAGCTTCCTGAGAGAGATTCTTCCTGTCTAACCTGCACCTTTATTGCCTTCCTGTTCTGCCTTCTCATTGGCTCAAAGCCCAGCCATATCACTTCTGTGTCACTGCCTGTCTATACAGACTTCCAGGTCTCTATGGTTGGTACTGGGATTAAAGGCGTGTGTCACCACCCTTGGCTGTATCCTTGAACACAGAGAGACTCTGCCTGCCATGTGATCTGGTTAAGGGTAAGTGTTACCAGAAGCCTTACTTCTATTTATGGTTCACTATGATCTCTGATCTCCAGGCAAACCTTATTTATTAACATACAAATAAAATATCACATTTCAGCACAAATAAAATATCACCACATTAGGGATTATCTCTGAGTTTATTCTGTTGTTCTTATGGAACAATGTCAGGTACTCAAATGTGTGGCATAAGAGGAGTTTCCACAAGTCTTCATGCTTTTCTCCAATGACAAGAAGCAATTGCTTGTACCCAGTTCCTCTGCTCAAGATGCTGTTGCTTCTTCCTGCAGTAGATGGAAACAAACTCAGAGACCCGCAGCCGGACAATGTGCAGAGAGTGAGAGACCATGGAACACTCAGTCCTAAACAAGATGTCTTCATCACATCTCTCCCCTCAGGGTTCAGGGAACTTTGGGGAAGAGGAGGCAGAAAGAATGTAAGAACAAGAGGTGATAGGGGACACCAAGGAAAGAAGATCTTCTAGACACAAGACTGATGCACATGTGAACTCACAGAGACTGTAGCAGCATGCACAGGGCCTGCACAGGTGTCAGAGATGAGAGAAATAGACATATAACCCAGAAGCTCTCTCCAACTGACCCCTGCTCGCAAAGGAAAGATTAGTTTTCTTCAAAAGAGACTCACTGGTTATACAAACCACACTTAAGGAGGGACTGACTGTAGCATGAAACTTAGAAGTCTTATTAAGTAAAAACAAACCCAAGGCCAGGTATTGGGGTGAATGCTGGAAGATCAGAGAGACAGAACAGGCCACAGCTAGCCTCACCTTGCCAACTTCTCAGCTGATTCTGTTTCCTCAGAGCCTGGAAGCCTGGAAGTCCTCATCCAGAATGAATCTCAGCTGAATGGCTGCTAACTAAAAGCTTAACCAGCTATAGTTCCTCGTCCTCACTCATTAAGTACCTTTCTGCCTCCTGCCATTACTTCCTGGGATTAAAGGCGTGAGTCACCATGCTTGGCTGTTTCCAGTGTGGCCTCGAACTCACAGAGATCCAGGTGGATCTTTGCCTCTGAAATGCTAGGATTAAAGGTGTGTGCTACCACTGCTTAACTTCTATGTTTAATATTGTGGCTGTTCTGTTCTCTGACCCCAGATAAGTTTATTAGAGTGCACAATATTTTTGGGGAACACAATACCACCACAACTGACTTCCAACAATACATGGTTAACACAATATAAACTCAATGGTAGTTTTGGAGTGTTTTGTCTCAGCATTTTGTTTAACCTTGTAGGTCTTTTGCTTGTATATTATGTCTCACAGAGCTGTCTTTTAATGGAATTTCTGTGTATACAAATGTACCTTCTCTCTACATCTGTATGAGTTTCTTGTGTTTCTCTTTGGCTCTTTTGCTTTTTTCTTTTGTTTGCTTGTTTTCTCCTGTTA